CCTAACTCTGGCCGGTGTGGCCACGATGATCAAGTCTGCTGTCTACTCCATGACTGCTGTCTCCATTCTCAGCACTCCCTCTTGACCTTGGCATGCCCTTCAAGCTCATCCCCTGGTCCATCCCCCTCCTCTGGATGAAGACTGGAGTGCCAGGATCCCACCCGATTCATCTGGTCGTGGTTCCCCAGACACCACTGCGTATCACACACAGCCTGGAAAGAGACCCTGGCGGGTCAAAGTCTTCCAGACGCACACTCTGATGTGTCACAGACCTCCCACCAGGTTTCTGTTAGGTCAGGCAAATTAAGCAAGAGCTCATTTTCCCAGCTCTTCCAAAGAATATCCCTGGACATATGCTGTCTTGCTCTTTCCAGGGCTCACAGAACGGAATATTTACACAGGTGCAAGGGAGGCACTGCCCAGCTGAGCTTCCACTCCCAGCCAGCAGGCACTCAGGCTGCAGACCCAGTACTGCCCATCTGGGCCAGGCCGTAGTACCTCTGTCCCCCATGGAGCTGCTCTGGGGGCATTTCTGCCCCCACTACTTTGTTCTAAGTCTCCCCAACTCTACTCTTCAGAATCTTTGCCCTCAAATAGCCCCCAGAGGAGACTGGAACAGAAGAGTGATTGTCACAGTGACTTCCACATGACGGGCTTAGTTGACGGGGGATGAAGGGAGAGAGGAAACAGATTCCATGGTCAAATAAGACGAGATGTCCTGGGTAAGACAAACAGACACTAGCTTCTTGCTGTCAGACTTCTTAGGGCCTTGAGTGTGCTCAATTGCATCAGAAATCTACTTAAGAGGCATTGTTTGATTCAATAAGTATTTACTGAGCATCTACCAAGTACCAAGCATCCTTTAAGCAGTAAGAATACAGTATTCATTAAAATAAACCAAAAAAGAGATGGGCAATAAACAAAAAGCATAGGAAATAATTAACATACATATGATGCTACAAGGTGGTATGTGATATGAGTGTTAAAAAAAAAAAGGAAGGTAGAGGGATTAGAAAGGCCATGGAAGAGGGACAGGGATGCAAGTTTAAATAAGGTGGTTGGGATTTATGATTAAAACTCTTCAAAAAATGGGCATGGAAGGAACCTACCTCAGCATAGTAAAGGCCATATATGATATACCTACAGCAAACATTATTCTCAATGGTGAGAAACTGAAAGCATTCCCCCTAAGATCAGAAAGAAGACAAGGGTGTCCACTTTTGCCACTATTATTCAACATAGTTCTGGAAGTCTCCAGCAATCAGAGAATAAAAAGAAATAAAAGGAATCCAGATTTGAAAAGAAGAAGTAAACCTCTCACTGTTTGCAGATGACATGATACTGTACATAGATAACCCTAAAGATAGTATCAGAAAATTACTAGAGCTAATTAGGGAATTTAGCAAAATTGCAGGATACAAAATCAATACACAGAAATCACTTGCATTTCTATATACTAACAATGAAAAATCAGAAAGAGAAAATAAGGAATCAACCTCATTCACCATTGCAACAAAAAGAATTAAATGTCTAGAAATAAACTCACCTAAGGAGACAAAAGAACTGTAAACAGAAAATTATAAGACACTGATTAAAGAAATCAAAGATGACATAAACAGATGGAGAGATATTCCATGTTCCTGGGTAGGAAGAATCAATATTGTGAAAATGACTATACTACCAAACACAAACTACAGATTCAATGCTATCCTTATCAAATTACTGATGGCATTTTTCACAGAACTAGAACAAAAAACTTCACAATTCATATGGAAACTCAAAAGACCCCGAATAGCCAAAGCAGTCTTGAGGAAGAAGAATGGAGCTGGAGGAATCCACCTTCCTGACTTCAGATTATCCTACAAAGCTACAGTCATCAAAACAGTATGGGGCTGGCACAAAAACAGAAATATAGACCAATGGAACAAGATAGAAAGCCTAGAAATAAACCCACCCATGCACCTATGGGTACCTTATTTTTTACAAAGGAGGCAAGAATATACAATGGGGCAAAGACAACCTCTTCAATAAATGTTGCTGGGAAAACTGGACAACTACATGTAAAAGAATGAAATTAAAACACTTCCTAACACCATACACAAAGATAAACTCAAAATGGATTAAAGACCTAAATGTATGACCAGAAAATATAAAACTCTTAGAGGAAAACAGGCAGAACACTCAAAGACATAAATCAAAGCAAGATCCTCTATGACTCACCTCCTAGAGAAATGGAAATAAAAACAAAAGTAAACAAGTGGGACCTAATTAAACTTAAAAGCTTTTGCACAGCAAAGGAAACTATAAGCAAGCTAAAAAGACAATCCTCAGGATGGGAGAAAATAATAGCAAATGAAACAACTGACAAAGGATTAATTTCCAAAATATACAAGCATCTCATAAAACTCAATACAAGGAAAACAAACAAATACCAATCAAAAAGTGGGGGAAAGACCTAAACAGACATTTCTCCAAAGAAGACATACAGATGGCTAACAAACACATGAAAAGATGCTCAACATCTCTCATTATTAGAGATATGCAAATCAAAATCACAATGAGATATCACCTCACACCAGTCAGAATGGCCATCATCAAAAAGTCTACAAATAAATGCTAGAGAGGGTGTGGAGAAAAGGGAACACTTGCACTGTTGGTGGGAATGTAAATCGATACAGTCACTATGGAAGACGGTATGGAGATTTCTTTAAAAACTAGGAATAAACCACCATATGACCCAGCAATCCCTCTCCCAGGCATATATGCTGAGGAAACCAGGGTTGAAAAGCATACATGTATCCCATTGTTCAATGCAGCACTATTACAATAGCTAGAACATGGAAGCAACCTAGATGTCCATCCACAGATGAATGGATAAAGAAGTTGTGGTACATATACACAATGGAATATTACTCAGCCATAAAATGGAACACATTTGAGTCAGTTCTGATGATGTGGATGAACATAGAACCTATTATATAGAGTGAAGTGAGTCAAAAAGAGAAAGATAAATATCATATTCTAATGCACATATATGGAATCTAGAAAAATGGTACTGAAGAATTTATTTACAGGGCAGCAGTGGAGAAACAGACATAGAGAAAAGACTTATGGACATGGGGAGAGGGGAGGAGAGGGTGAGATGTATGGAAAGAGTAACATGGAAACTTACATTACCATGTGTAAAATAGATAGCCAACGGGAATTTGCTGTATGGCTCAGGAAACTCAAACCAGGGCTCTGTATCAACGTAGAGGGGTGGGATGGGGAGGGAGATGGGAGGGAGGTTCAAAAGGGAGGGGATATATGTATACCTATGGCTGATTCATGCAGAGATTTGACAGAAAACAACAAATTCTGTAAAGCAATTGTCCTTCAATGAAAAATAAATTAAAAAATAAATAAATAAGGTGGTTGGGACTTCCCTGATAGTCCAGTGGCTAAGACTCCAAGCTCCCAATGCAAGAGGTCTGGGTTTGATCCCTGGTCAGGGAACTAGACCCCACATGCTGCAACTAAAAAGTTGCAACAGAATGGAAGATCTAGCATGCGACAACTAAGCTGTACCCAGTACAGCCAAATAAATAAATAAATCTTAAAGAAAAAAAATTTCTACAAAGTTTAAAAAATAATAAATAAATAAGGTGATTTGTCTAGGTCTCATCAATAAGGCTGTGTGTGGGACCAGCCTGGATCACCCACCTAGCAAATTGCTATGTCCTTGGTCTCATTATTCTCAAGAAAAGAGCCTGGAAACTGCAGGGCCATGGAACCCCGAGGCAGGAAAGCGGCTGGGTCGCCCGCTGGGTCTCCAGGCTAACCTGAGCTTGGATTTGGTTCTGCCACTTTCTGGCTGCCTGACCCTGGATGGTGGGGGGCGTTGATAATAATCAGCTTCACGAGACCATAGCGAAGTGAGAAGACGATTGTGAATGCACCCAGCAAAATGCCTGGCACCGAGTAGCCCCCTCCATGCTGGCTTCTGTCTTAATACCTTGTATTCAGTAGCTGTGGCTCCTAGAACAAATTCCCACACACCTCGTTGGCCTCAAACCACAGGAGTTTCTTCCCTCGCGGTTTTGAGGCCAGACATCTGAAATGGGGCTGTTGGTGGGGCCATGTTCCCTCCAGAGGCTCCCAGGGAGAAACTTGCCTCGCCTCCTCCAGGTTCTGGTGGTTCTTGGGCTCCTTGGCTTGTGGCCGCACTGCTCCCATCTCTGCTCGTAGCCCTCTTCCCTGTGTGTGTCTGTCTCTTTGTTCTCTCCTTCTATAAGGGCTCCAGTCGTTGGATTTAGGGCCCATCAGAACGATCACCTGGACTTCCCAGGTGGCCCGTGGTAGAGAATCCGCCAGCCAGTGCAGGAGATGCAGGTTCAGTCCCTGGGTGGGGAAGATGCCCTGGAGGAGGAAACGGCAACCCACTCCAGTATTCTTGCTGGAGAATCCCATGGACAGGGCAGGCTGGCGGGCTATGGTCCAAGGCGTCACGAAGAGTCAGACACGACTGAGTGACCAAACAACAACAGGGTGATTACTTCTTGAGATGCTTAACTAATTGCAGCTGCAAATATCCTTTTCCCAAATCAGGTTATATTCTGAGGTTTTGTGTGGACAGTATATTTGGGGAGCGAGACCCTCTTCCAGCCGGCGCACACCTCACGGACGAGGAACCCAAGCCCCCGCCTCTGCCCTGTACCTCTGCTCCCTTCTTCCAGCAAGAAAGTCCGTGCTGGGGTCGTTGTCTCACACGGTCTGAGCCTGTCTCCCCTCCTGCAAAACAGACCTTCCTGGTGTCTGGACCCCGATGCGTCCAGATCAAACCCCAAGGCTGACCCAGGGCAGAATGGAGCTCACTTTCCCAATAGTTTCTGTCCGGGGTTAGCCCAGAGGTTCTCTGGGAACTTCTAGGACACAGTGGGTGACCGAGTGGAAGAAGGCAAACAGGGATGGGGTGGCGCGTGTAGAATGCCCGTTTTAACCCTTTCCTTGTCGGGAAGCAGCCCTAAGCCTGAGCCTCCGGTTGCGGCCAAACCCGAGCCCGCAGCGCCCCCTGGCGGTCATCTCAAGTGCGCACCGCAGCTCCCCTGTGCCCGTGCAGCCGCGCGCGTTGGAGGTGGCTGTAAATGAATTTAGCATCAGCACCGTTATTTAAATTGTTTTAATTAATCACAGATTGAGCAGTAAATGAACCACTAAGTGGAGAGAGAGCGTGCAGTGAGCGAGAAAGAGGTGAGGGGAGGAAGACGGCGCCTGGCCTAAAGGAGCACAAACAGCTTCCGGTGGGCGGGGTGGGTGTGGGGAGCGTTGGAGGCGCTGATCGCTGAGCTCTGCCTCCCGCTCCTGACACTCCTCCCCGCCCCAGATCTGGGTGCCGCGCGGCGGCGCGGAAGGCGGCCCAGCCGGCAGGGGTGGGGTTGGGAGGGGCGTACATCCTTGAGCGGGGCGGTGGGGCAGGGGTGCCTAGTCCCTGGAGAAAGGACGGAAAGTTGCCAAAAGGGGAGCGAGCAAGCAGGAGAAGGGAGTAACTCCTGGTGAGAGTTTAAAACGTGCCTTGGTAGTGCTCAGCACTTGGACACCGCTTCTTGTATCTGAAAAGCACGCACGGTTGAAAACGGCGAGCATCCTTGGCCCAACAAGGCCGATGGTGCACTGAGGGGCCTTGAACGCGGACGCGGCGCCTGAATCTGAATCTGGGGACCTGTAGAATGGGAAGGGGCCCGGTGGAACTGCAGAAGACACTACGAGCTCAGATCTAGGATTCTTTGCCCTTGAACAAGACATTCAGTGATGCCCTGGGCCAGCTTCCTTATCTGTAAAGCAGGTTTACCACATTCTCCAGAATTTGATGTGAGATTCGGCAACCTGTAGCCTGCAGGCCTGTTTTTGTAAAGCCTGTGAACTGAGTGGGTTGTGTGTGTGGGTTTTTTTTTTTTCACACAGTTAAAAAAAAAATCAAAAGAATAATATTTCATGACACGTGAAAATTATATGAAATCTAAATTCCATCAATAAAGTTTTATTGAAACGCAGCCATGCTTTTTCATGTTAGGGCCTGTCCGCGGTTGCTGGAACAACACAGGAGCAGTTAAGTAGTTACAGCAGAGATGGGATGGCCCTGGAAGCCTGAAATATCGACCATCTGACCATTTACCTAAATGGTTTGCTGACCCCTAATTTAATACACCATGATTTGTCAGATGCATAATTTTTATGTACTGTTAGCAAGGAAACACACTGCCAAATTAAACCATACCATGAGCCTTTCGTATTACTTAGATTTTATTTTACATGGACTGAAAGTTATTTTAGACTATTTAAATGTAGATTTGGACACACTTGTGAAACGTAAAAAGGAAAATATGTGTGAAATAAAAAGGGCTTCCCTTGTGGTTCAGCTGGTAAAGAATCCACCTGCAATGAGGGAGACCTGGGTTCAATTCCTGGGTTGGGAGGATCCCCTGGAGAAGGGAAAGGCTACCCACTCCAGTATTCTGGCCTGGAGAATTCCACTGTGTAGTCCATGGGGTCGCAAAAAGTTGGACACAACTGAGCAACTTTCACTCACTCATTCCCCAAACATTTTCATATCCTAAGACCAACTCTTTTGAATCACTTTTTGACTCAAAAATCCCTTTTGTCCTTGTCTTGCATACAGTCTCATCCTCAGTGCCTTGACATAAGGCAGGATTTCTTTTTTTCTCTTCTTTTTTATTTTTTGAATTGCAGCAACATGGGCTTCCCAGGTGGCTCACTGGTAAAGAATCCACATACTAATGCAGGAGACACAGGAGACTTGGGTTCAATCCTTGGATCTGGAAGATCACCTAGAGAAGGCAATGGCAACCCACTCCAGTATTCTTGCCTGGAAAAATCCCATGGACATAGGAGCCTGGTAGGCTGTAGTCCATGGGGTCACAAAGAGTCTGACACAACTGAGCATGCACACACAACACACAGCATCAGTTTGTAACAGTGTATAAGCTTCATGTGTACAATGTTATATTTCAACTTCTGTGTACACTGCTGGGTACTCACTGCCAAAAGTTTAGCTTCCATCCATCACCCTACAGTTGATCCTTTTATCCATTTTGACCTCTACCCTTCCCCTCTGGTAACCATCTCTTCTCTGTATCTGTGTGTTCTGGTTTGGTTTGGTTTGTTCATTCCTTTTATTTTAATTTCACTTATGAGTGAAATCATAAAGTATTTGTCTTTCTCCATCTGACTTTTTTCATTTAGAAAAAGGCCTGTCCATGTTGGTGCAAATGGCAAGATGTCATCTTTTTGTGGCTGAGTAGTATTCCATTGTGTATGTACAATACAACTTCTTTATCCATCCATAGCAAAGAGTTGGACATGACTCAGCGACTAACACTTTGCTATAAAGAGGAAGAGAACTGTGGGCCAACATCCAGAGGACACTAAGGAATCGAAGCAGGCATTATTATTCTTTATTGTTATCGCTTATTTACCCACTGACAAACTATTCAGTAGAGAATAAAAAACTGATAAGGCAAGAAAGAAAGGGGGTCATTGGTGTAAGAAGTGTCCTTGAGGGCTGGAAGAATTGACTTTCTGTGGGAGGACAGTTTGTTGATGGTGTGAGGAAGGAAGTCCAGCCTAGAAGTGGGTGGGGCCATGTGGAACTGTTGTCATGGCAACTACCATCTCCATGAAATGGGAAGCAATGCCAGAGCATCCCTAAGACAAGGGAGGGAAGAGGACACTTTTGAGGTTAGAGAAGGGCCAGTCTGAAACAGTCACCTAGGAAAGTGTAGGGGGTGAGCCTGGTTCTATATTCAGACCTCTATGGACCACTCACCAGAGTGAAAAATTCATTTACATTCAGATCCAGTAGACAGCACATTTCACAAAACAATATTCAACCTTATTATATTTGGTGGGCTCTGACCTTTTTTCTATTTTATCTCACTTTTTTAATGCATATTGGACCTACTAAATTGGCTCCTTGACCCACAAGTGAATCTTGACCTGAGGCTTGAAAAAGGCTGAGTTAAGGAGGCAGCATTGACCCACGACCCCCTAGAGGCCTGTAGGAAGGAGTGGTCATCAAGACAAAGGAATGCCTGTGTCCAGGTAAGGAGCAGAGAGAATGCTGGATTGAACAAAGACTGGGTATTTGCCAAGCAGGTGTCACTCATCAAAAACTGACAGGTCATAGGATCTAAGGAAAGAGTTGAGGGTATGAGGGGTGAAAGGCAGTAAGAAGATGCTGGGGTTTGGGGTTGACTGAAGGTCTGGATGAGGTCAAAGAACTATGGAGACCAGGAACCACAGGGAGTGATGGGGAATAACGCAGGGTTTAGTTAAAGCATGGAGTTGGCCGGCCAGTGGGGAGTTGCAATTGCCAAATACTGGTGGGAACAAGGCCCAGGGTGCAACCATGGGGGTGACTGGCTGAGCCAGGACGAGGAAAAGAGTCTATGGAACAAGGAGGCTGGGTTACGGGAGAGATCCCCTCTGCAGACACTAAAGTCCCCCCAAATTATGACCCCGGATGTCCCAGGCTGGAGTCACAGCAGAGGCCAGAGGCTTCAGTCCCTGAGACACAAACCCAAGCCCTAGAGATGATGACAAGGAAGAGGGGTGGCAGGAGGCTTGAATCTCACCGTCTGTGGCTGACCCTGGGCAGCAAAGATGGGCAAGGAGTTCCCGCAGTGTGGAGGGCGGGACTACTTGAGGGGCTGCCAGGGACGCGTGTGCTCAGGGAGATCCATGTGTCCCCCAGAGCAAGAGGGCAATGGGAAGATCCAGGGAGGAGGCTGAGCACCTGGGAAACCTTGCAGACACAACGCTGAGCGCTAGAGGGTCTGGGCCGCGGCATCGCGGGCAGGGCAGGTGGGACTTCCTGTCGGGGAGACATTGTTTAGATTGTGGGAGGATGGGGATTCTGGAAAGCAAACTGACTTTGGTTTAATTCGTGTTTTAAGTCCTCCACAGTCCTCTACAGTTCTTCCCTGAACCGGGGTGGACTGCTGGTTTGCAGAGTTGGGAGCTGCATGAAGCTGAGTCAGTTAGGGGTGCAGCCAGAACAGCAGAGGATTCGATTTGGCGACGGGGTGGCATTGGAACTGCTAACACCCGATGTGTGCTGTCCTCTTCTGAGGACTTCTTCACACAAAGCAATTCATTGAACCCTCACAACTACCCTGGAAGCTGGGCCCTGTAATTAGCCCTGTATTACGGAGGAGGAAATAGTGCCCCTGAGAGGTACGTGATGGGCTGGAGGATCTACAGATTCCAGATGAAAGAGCCGAGGCTCCCACCAAGGTCGGCTGGCTCCAGACTCTGGGCTTGGTACCCCTGCGTGCCCCTGCCTCCCCCTGGGGCCCACTGTGATGACCCAGGGGCCTGGTATCTCATGGTGGCTGCTGTCCATGGGGCTGTGAGCATCCTGGGTTCATCCCAGTGGTCCCTTGGGCTCTGAGGGCTGAGATCAGGGTGTTTACTGGGCTCCTGAATCTCCCTTCCCTTACCCCACACTCTGTCACTCCAGTGGCTGTGACCTTGAGCAAAGTGCTGGTTCCCTGGGCCCCAGAAACTCAGCTGCCCCCCTGTCTGTCTAATGAGATTAGGGATGAACAGGTTTGTAGATGCAGCAAGAAGTGACTGCTAGAGGCCAGACAGATGTAGGACTCCACACCTGTTATGGGGATAAGAGAATTTCTTTTTTAAGGCAGGTCGAGTTGGAGTGTCCCTCTCTTGCAGCCAAAGCGTCACTAACAGTATTATAGGGAGGGTCTGCCACGCAAGACGTCCAGGGAAGAGCAGCGTAGAATCCAGGGAAAGCCAAGATTTGGGGAATCAAGCTTCAAAGAGGTCTGGTAGCCAGGCTGTACCCACCAGGAAGGCCTTTATGATCCCTGAATAGGAGGGGCCTCGAAAAGGAGGCCCTGTGGGAGAACTGGATGCAGGCCAGGACCCAAGATGTACCGTCGGGCCATTTCCTGGCAGCGAAGGTGAGAATACCAGCCGGAGAGCGGAGCTGCCCTTACTGGAGTCTGACCCCCACCGTGTATTAGCTGTGTTCCTTCAGTCGCACGAGAGAACCTCTCACTGCATCTGTTCCCTTCTCTGCCACGTGAGGAGGGCATAGTACTTGCCTCCAGGGTTACCAGGTGTGCAAATGAG